CCTGGGACTTTGCCCTTGATGAAGGAAGGGCTGGTTGGGACCTGAGGAGGCTTTGCAGGGAGAGGAGCTGGTGGAGCTGTGCAGAGATCTTGGGGCTGGTTAAGATGCCCCCTGGGGCTTTAGTAGAGCCTGTGTAGGACCTGTGCAGGGGACCCCAGTGCTGAGGTTTGGCTCTTGCCCCTTCTGCTGAGCTCTTTCTGCAGTCAGGGGCTGGGGTTGAGCGTTCTGGTGCAAGCTGAGCTCGGCTCCAGAAGCCAGCTTTAATTACGTGCTGTGCTTGGTGCCATCCCTGCAAGCAGGGCTGTTGGCAGAGCCATCGCTCATCATGCCCAGGTTAGCCGTGTCCCACATGCGCCTGCTCTTATCTTGCTGTTTATTGCCGTAAATTATAGAAGTCAGAAAGGCTGACTCAGCAACAGCGGCTGGAGGAAATTTTTACACATCTATCAGAGCGATGAGTCCCACTCCTGTCTGTGCTCATCGCTGGCTGTGTCACCTTGTGGTGGGCTCACCTCCGGGCTGAGACCGGTGGTGGTGGCTGCCTGAGTGACTTGGGTCTCTCTGGGGCTGCCTAAAGTGGGGCAAAACTCAATGCATGGATCCAGCCCACGTTGTGCCTTGTTGGATGTGGGGTGGGATGGGCCCGGAGTGGTGGCAACAGCCTGGTGAGCTGGGAAGCCAAAGTGGGCAACTCTGTGGTGGGGTGTTGCAGCTGGGTGTGGAGAAGGGGTAAGATTCTGTATTATTTCTGCAAGAAGAGGGAACAGCCTTGGCCTGGAAGGGAAGGTCTCTGCTGGAGACCCCTGTGTGGCTTGATTTTGGGGGCGCTGGTGCCTCAGGACTGCTGAGAGCTCAGGCCTTAGTGTGTCAGGATTGGAGAAATCTGTTGTCTTGAGCCAGCTGCAAAAAAATCCCTCACTGTGGTGGGGAAATGTGGCCTGTCCCCAGTGCCACGGTGCCTGCCCTGTGCCGGTCCAACCCTGGCACCCACCCGCGTGGTCCCATTGTGGAAGTTCCCTCCGCTGGGGCTGCGATGGCTGAGTCTCCTGGGGCCAGGGGTGTCCCAGGGAGGGGAAAGCTTTGTTTGTGTATTTGTTCCACTTTAATAAATTAAAGTGGCGTGGGGACCTGCTAATGAAGTGTTGAAGATGGATTGTGGCTGGGTTGTGTTACACGGGGCTCATAGGATAGTTAATTACCTCAGGAAGCCTGAACGCGATGAATACTTCATAAAGCCAAAGCCAACAGTGAATTATTCATTATCCATTTATCAGGGGCACTTATGAGAGCCCCGCTGGGACTGAGTGTGGGCTCCCCTTCCCAGCCTTCATCAGCCAGACCTGCCCATCTTCCCCATCGGCGTGAGGCCCACAGGGGCAGGGACCCCACAGGACTCCTCTGGGGAAGGATTTGGGGAGAACCTGTTCCCTAAAGCAATGCTCAGTTTGTTCACTGAGCCACGGCAGGCACCGGAAAAATTCAGGAAAGGGCTGGGGAGGAGGATTGGCGACATAGAGAGGGAGTGGGGTCGGTCATCTCCTCGTCTGCAGCCGAATGCTGTGTGTTCCCTGAAGGGACAGTCACTGTCCCCCGCTGAACTTGAACTCAGGGTGGTGGCTTGGGCACTGCTGCGGGGGTACCCAGGGGTGACCAGCTGCTCCAGGGATGAGGGGATGGGAGGAGAGGCAGGCAAGGGGCCGAGCACCAGCCACAGAAGTGTTTTAAATACACCTGGCTGGCTAATTTGCTTGACACATCCTCACCAAGGAGAAATTAAGATTCGTCCTGAACTCTGGATCATGTTTAAGGAGAGAAACCTGGGGAAAAAAAAAAAAGCTGTGGTGGGAAACTCAGGCCGTAGGCAAAGCAAAGGAGTGGACTGTCTGTGGGCACCCGCTCGGTGCGGTGGCCTGGATGGCGTCTGAGCGGGGACCGGGCTGTCGCATCCCGGCTGCCACAAGAAATAGGCTTTGCTGCCATCTACCTCTCCCGGGCTCCCCGGCAGCCGGCCCCGGTGCCGTGGGGTTTGTGTGAGCCGTGGGCTACTGCTGGGGCTTGGGGTTGCCCTGCTGCTCTTGGGAGTCCCAAAACATCCTGACCTGAGGCTGAAATGGTGCTGGGAGGCTTACAGGGGGGTACTTGGGTTTCTCCTCTCCATCCCTCCGCTTTGGTCGCTGCTGGCTCTTGCACCATGGCCTTCCTCCGGCATCAGCCCCAAGGCTGGTCACTCCCCTCCAGCTCAGGGTGTAAGAGCCTTCCTGATCTCAGCACCTCGGCAGGATCTCAGGGGGGGAAAAAAGAGCAAGAGGAGGTGGGAATCATCCCCTTGACATCCCATTTCATCAAGCATCTGATGCCAAAATGCTGTGGCCTCCAAGGGCACCAGCCTGTGCCAGGCACGTTCTGGGGCTGCTCCACGCTGAGCGTCAGCACTGGCCAACGCAAGACGTGGCTTTGCTTGAGCCCTGCTGGGCGAGCTGGCCTCCCCTGCCTGCCCCCGCTTCCCTCCCTGCTCCCCATTTAATAAATGCTTTTGGCACCAGCAGGGCAGCCCATGCTGCACATCTGCACTGCACAGCTGGCAGGGCACATCTGGGTGAGAGATTCCCCTCAGACCCCTGGCCAAGGCACCTCCCTGCTGGGTCTGATCCTGCCCGATGGAAATGCAGCAGCGATGGGATATCCTGGTCTTTTCCTTCCTGTGGGGTTGGCTCTGCTGCTGCATTTTAGGGCTTCTTCAGCACTAAGCTGATGGTAGTGCCCGGTCCGGGCCATTCCCCCTTTTTTTTGGTCCTCAACCTCTACTTTTGTGTTATTTCCCCAAAATCTGTGCTCCTGTTGACGTTCTCTCGACTTTAAAGAATATTTAACCACCTGGTAAATTATTTATCCCTCTGAGGTTTCATGCACTTGGGGCAGCTTGCAGGCCTCCTGGAGAACTAACTAGAGCCATAAATCAAAGAGACATTTGAGAAATTTCCCATTGCTTGTGCTGATGGCGGCCTGGCCCCTGAAATGCCACTTGCAGGTTGGGAGCCAGGCGCTGCCACTTGCTGCTATTACTTGTTTAGGAGCTTGTTAAATTTAGAAGTTAAATAGACTCCAGGAAACAGATGAGACACACCAAGTGCCGGCTATGGGGGAAATTGGGTGGCTGCCACCCCCTAATACTCCTTTTTAAGGTGGGTTTTTTTTTTTTCCAGGCTTAGCAAAGCACTGCCATCAATCCAGTTGCGAGGGCGAAGGCAGCCGAGGGTGGCTCGGGGGCTGCAGCAGAAGGTGGTTCTGGAGGGAGCGGGGACAGCAGCGCTGCCTGCTTGGTGGGTGGGAGAAGGGCTGGTGGGACTGCAGCAGGTCCGCTTGCACAAAGCACAGGGGGTGTGGGGATGCAGAGAGGGGGTACCCCGATCCCCTGAGGGCCTGCCGGTGATGCTGGGTGTGTAAAAAAACGGTGGCTTTTACCTGTCTCACAGACCAGCTGGGGCAGGGGTGGAGCAAGGTCTCTGCTGCCTTCATCTGACAAAGTGAGCCTTGTCCTGGGTGACCCCAACAGCGGCTGGAGAGGGTTAGGAATAAAGGGAGGAGAAACACAGCAAGGGATCAGGCTCCCAGCCTTGTGGCTTGTTTTAATTTGTGCACTGGAGCTGAGGATCCAGGCGGCCTCAGCAGGGTGGAGCAGTCGGGTTTGCATGGGACACTCTTGGACGCCCCGCTCAGGCGCGTGTGCCAAGGCTGTTCGGTAAAGCAAGGCAGGGGACAAATCCTGGCCCTCGATTGATGCTTTGCAGCATCATATGGAGTGAAATGCATTTAGGAGTTGCCTCTGGGCAGGGCCTCTCAGTAAACAAGCTGTCGCACGGCGCTGACGCATCCTGGGCAGGAGCTCTGGGCGACCGAGATGCGACGGCGCCCGCAGAGCTGCGCTGATGCCAAGTGACACCCGTGGGGTTTTCCACTGCAAGGATGCTCTCATCTTGCTGAAAATCATACAGATTGCCCTGTGCCCCAAGGTCTGCAGCTCAATTCATCTGGCTTCTGTATTTATACGGCTTTTATTTGGCATGGTTTACGTTGTCCGAATGTTGCTGATTGCGTTGCTGGTGTGAGTTGGGGGCTGTCTCCCCTCCTGCTCTGTGCCCCCAGCAGAAGGGGGTTGTGTGGACCCAGGAGGTTGGGACACCCTGGGTTTGCTGGAGGAGGCTGCTTAGCTGCAGTGCTACCGAGACACCATCCCCTGTCACCCCAGCCGTGCCAGCGTGGGCTCTCCAGAGGCCCTGAGCTGGAGCTCCAACACGGGTGTGGGGTCTCTATTTGTATCCCCTACCTCAACAATGCCTTTTCCTTTGGGTGCCCTGCTTTCTCCTTGTGCTCGAAGCCTTCTGCAGGGGTGGCAGACGGGCTTTTCACCTTTCCCAAGATGTCACAGCTTTCTCTGCCATCAGCATTTTTCTAACAGGAGTCACCTGCATCACTTCTGCTCCTGAGCAGAAAGCAGCTGCCTCAGGAGACCGCTTTTGCTGCTGACCACAGTGCAAATCACTTCTGCCACGGCTTTCTCTCTGCCATCAAACCCTTCTGCTCCCTCTGCACTGACTTGGTGAGATTTTAAGCATGGCTTCTCCTTATTCCCTTCCTGCATTAAATCTCAGGCCCACCCCAAGGTGCATGGCAGTGCCTGGGATGAGCCCAGCTGCACCCCCTGCACCGGGGTCTCTGGGGGCTGTGGGAATCCTCCCCCCCCCCCAGGACCAGGGCTGGGTGTCCACAGAGAGGACATGACCTGCTGCCGTGCAGTCAGACAAGCCCCAACCCCACCTTCCCTAACGAATGAATTCATTTGGCTCCCTGCGTGGTGATGCAGAGCTGCAGCCAGACCCCAGAGAGGGGGTTTCTCCCCTTCTGTGCTGCTCCCAGCCCTTCCAGCCAGCCTGGCTCAGTCCTGCTGTTTATTCCCCATAGAAATGAAAATTTCAGTTTATCACGTCTGCCTGGCGGGCAGCAAGCCACCAAGCGAGCGAGAAGGAGCCTGCAGCAGCCAGCTGGAGAGAGCTGGGAGAACGCGCTAGGTAATAGAGGTATTTATTAAAGGAGGGAGGAAATTTATATGCTATTCCTGCTTCTTCAGCTCTCAGTCATCACCAAGGGAAGAGGAGGAGTGGGCAGCTTGCGCAGGAAATAGCCAGAAGTCTGTTTTCTGCCCATTTGTCAGTCTGATGAACAAGAAAAATATAGGCGGTCTTGATGAAGGAGAAAGAGAGAGTCTGGAGGAGGCTGGTGTGTTCACAGGCAGGAGCAGCCCCAGGTTCAGGGGAAGTTGCCCTGGAGCCCCCCGGGGCTGGGGGCTCGTGCCACCGGGGGTTGGGGGGGATCTGAGGCTGCTCCCATGTTGGTGGCAGCGAGCTGTGAACGGGGGGGCAGGGGTGAGGAGGGGAGGGATGGGGCATGGAGGCGTGGGGAGGGGGAAAAAAACGGGGCTCTGGAGGGGACAGGCTGGAGGAGAGCCCTGGCAGCTGGATGGGGATGGTCTCCGTGCCCAGAGCCGTCACTGCGATCGGTGAATCTCCCCTCAGCAAGGGCCCCCCTGCCTGTTAGTTTATCTGAAGTGCTTGGCATCTACCGGAGAAGAGCACTAGGGAGTAAAAAACCCACCAAGTATTAAGTGCTAATAATTCCCTACTTTTATTTGCAGTTATCCACCTACATGAAAGAGGCTGGGTTTTTGCTGACACTTTCTTCTGGAAATTGAATGCTGCCTGAATCATCCATCCAGGGCCATTTGTTCATAAAAGTAAGGAATTGCTGTTTGAATCTTTTTATTGCTGCTAATGTGACACAGGCAACGGTGATGGATTCGGAGAGCCTTGGCACAGGCTGGGGATGTTCATTCTGGAAATTGGCACAAATGTGGGTGCTCATACACCCTCCTGGGGGGTGCAAACACTGCCTGGGTCTCCCTGGGTTCAGCTTTGTGGAGGAGAGGCTGTCGGGGTGCTGCAATGTGCCCCCTTGCACATCCCCTGGCACTGGCAGGGGGAAATTTCAACCTTTCCCAAGCTGTAACCCCAACAGGTTTTTATCCCCGAGGGGCAGCTTCTCCCCATGGCACCAGGGTCCACGCACCCCTGAGAGGGGCTGGCTTGGGATTTGGATCCCCCAGCCCTGTGACTGTGATGGCACAGTGGGAAGGGGAGAGGGGTTTTTTAATCTTAATCTTGCTGTTTCCAGAGCTGCCGGTGTGGCCAGACAAGGAGATGTTTTTCCTGTGGCAGAGACAAATAGACAGACCCAGACCCTCCGGCGTCCCGGCTGCCACTTCTGCTCTCTGACGTGATAAAAATATCCCAGGAGAGACCCCAGAAAGCCACGTCCCAGCCTGAAGGGGATCAGCCCCGGGGCAGGATGATGCTGCATGGCATGGCACCGGGCTAGGATCCCGTCTCAGACTGTGCGGCCTCACCCCCTGCGCCTGTCCCAGCACCTTGGCGTGGGCTTTCGGTCTGCACCCACAGCCACCGTGGGGCAGGGAGGAGGCAAGGGCCCAAGCACGGCCCCTCGCTGAGCTCTCCCTCCTCATCCCTGTGGATCCTCCTAAATTAGGGATGTTATTAATTACAAGCTGCTTTTCCCCTGACTGCTGCTTGCACAAATGATAACTGATTTTAAATGAATGGAGCCAATTACTGCGGTTTTCCTAAACCAGACAGCGATGCTCCGGCGAGGAGGAGCAATCCCAGCTGCAGCGGGGATAAGAGTTAGACACTGAAATGCCCTTTGGGCCTGAATTTCCAGCTGTCACGGTTTCCTGGTTAAGTCTGGCTGCTTTCCTCAATTGAATGTGAATTTAGGTGGTAGCAGCCAGGGCCTGCTGAGCAACCTCAGGCCAGTGGCGCTGGGGAAGGTGACGGTCCCTGCTCCCTGTGCAATTACCTGCTACGAATGAGTGATGCTGGAATGATCCTTGCTGACTGCAAGCAAACGGTGTCTGAAAATATCGCTGCATTTATGGAAAAATAGAAAGAGAGAACTCCTGAATGGTTTTTCAAGGCTGGGACCTTGTGGCTGGGTTGGGGATCTCCCAGTTCCTTGGGGGTGGTGCACGTGGAGATTTCCCGTATGGAAATGGTGTGGGTTCTCCAAGGGCTCATATAAGGTAGCTCCTGCCCCAGGTTATTTACCCGAATGGTTATTTCACAGATATGCCAAGCTGTTCTGCTGTGCCCAGATCCAATCTCTATATGAAGTTCATCAAATTTTAAAGAACAAAGAATTGTCACTGGGTGTCTTGTCCTTGTAATATAAGCAGCTTCAGTGAAAAGGAAACGTAATGAAGATGGATTAAAGCTTAACTGTATGAAAATGAGTTAAGGAATCTTGAAATCAGGTTCCCATTTGTCTGCCTTTCCAAATCATGGGAAATATTGATTTACTTGCAGCAGCAGCAGCAGTGACAGCACACCACGGTCCCAGCAGAGAGGGTGAGGAGTGATACATGCGCCACCAGCTCTCCGGGATGGGGCCAGGTCCAACCCTGCACGGCTCCTCGGTCAGCTCAGCTTGACACAAGGTCCAAGCCCTGGGCAGTTTTGCTGGGCCTGACTTCCTCACACCAAGGGTGGAGAGGGGATGGTGCCCAAACTCTGTCTTGTTGAGGATGATGGGATGAAGCTCGAGCTCTTCCCTTTGCCCATCGTGCTCCCTGCTTTGGCTGCAGCCCCCAGCCCTGGCTTTCCCTCTGCCAAGAGCTGCCCCTGGACAGGATAGTCCCCTTCGGAGCCCACACAAAAGCCTTTGACATTGAGGTTAGACGAGCTGTTGCAAAATCAATTAGTGATAAAACCCGGTGAGCAAAGTGCACAATTGTATCGTTTTATTATGTTGCCATCTGAGCAGTAAAAATACATAGATACAGATGTACAAAACAATCTGAAACACTGGGTCAGAAATCCGGGCTCCTGCTGCTTCCCTCTTAATCTCCCATTAAGTGATATATCTTATGATGGTTTTGCCAGCTCTTTAAATTTAATAACTGAACTAACCATCTTCTCGTATTGTTTGCATATAAATAAGTGTTGGATCGATAAAGAACATCTTTAAAAGTCCCTGGATTTGAAAAATGAGGGGAGAATAGCCTGGCGGGCAGTTGCAAGAAAATTATGACTTCACACCTCCAAAACCCAGTGTTTAAAACAAGGAGGGGTGGACAAAAAGAAAAACCCCTTCGATGAGATGCTTTCTGCTACTGAAAGGCTGAATCGATAAGGACTGGATGAGGTTTCAGCTTTTGGTTGCAGATTGTCTGGCTGCCGCACTCCTCCCCTACCCCTGCAGTTTTGGAGAAACCAGTGCTGCAACTTGGAGGCTTTAATTTTTTTTTTTTGCCAGGGATTTGCTCGAGGAGAGGCAAGCATCGGCATCAGCAGCTGCGGGGCCACCCCGGATGGAGAAGGGCTGCGCTCTTGGGATGGCTTTATCTTTTTATTCCCATTGGCAGCCTCCACCCCAAAGAAAGCAGCTCCTCCTTTGCATCAGGGATGACTTCAAACTGCCTGATTTCAAGCTGCCTGTACGTCAAGAGCATCACCAGCCAGCCACACTCGGGGCACCACGCACACACAGCCTGTCCAGGCAATATCCACCCCATGAAGGCTTCTTGCAGCGGGGTAGATGCACCAAGGAGGTAAAACTATTCCATTGGAGATAATTCCCTCTGCAAAGCATCCCCGGGGTGGGCTGGGTGCTCGTTGACCTCCGCTGGCTTTGTGAAGGGCTCTGGCTCAGCTGCCACGGTGGCACATCTGGTGAGTGTGGCCAGAAGGCATCGCTGCTGGCATCTGCTCAGCGAGCCACGGGGCTGGGGCACTCTGCTCCATCCTTCTCCTGCCCGTGGGAAATCCCGCTCTGCCCACCCCAAGGTGTTCCCCAGCTCTCCGGAGCTCCCTGTTAGGGGTCATAGGCTGCTGTTATCCCCCTCCAGGGTTTGCCACATGGCTGTGAATTCTTCCAGTGTCGTTGCATGGCAGCAAAAGGCGAGCAGCCCTCCACTATAACTGCAGCATTTAAAAAAAGAAAAAAAAAAAATAAAAAATCCAGGGATGGGGGGGGATACACAGCCAGGCACTGTGCTCTGTTCAGGGCGTGTGGTTATGGAGGGTTGTGTTTCCATAATGTATTGCACTCAGAAGTCCAGGGGGTGAGATAAGCAATGCCGAGGAGGCCTCCTTCGCACACGGCGTGTTCAATCACTCACTATAAAAAAGCCTTGGTGCCTCCGCTCCTCTGCTTCTCCCTCGCTTCAAAGAACAAAAGGAAATGGGCTTGTTGCTTTGTAGGCGAAGGCAAGGAGGCTCCTGAGAACCGGGGAGAGAGGGCCATGAATTATTCAGTGTAGCTGTCGGTGCAGGAGTGGTGCTGAGACCTGCTCCTGCGGTGACCCCAGCGTCGGGCCTTGGCCAGGAGCCCCAAATTTGGATGGATGCAGGCGCAGACCTGTTGGGTGTGGAGACAGGAGGGTGCCCGGAGAGCTGGGGCTGGGGGCAGCACCCTTTTCCACCACCCAACCCTCCAGGGCACAGCTGCACTGGTGGTTTGGAGGAAAAGGTGTCTTCTATTCCTGCATTCCCATCCCAGGGGTGAGCCTTGGGCTTCCCACTATTTTTGGTTGCTTTGGACCAAAAAAAAAAAAAAAAAAAAAAAAGAGGAAGAATGCCTGAGAGAGGACACTTGTGTGCTAAACAGGGAGGGTGGCAGAGGGCAAGAGCTCCGGCAATGAATGTGCTTGGGCTTGCTCTCCAGCCAGCTCGGTAACAAATTCACTGACACAGGGAACAATTTTTCCCTGACTCTGCCAATTCCTTAACGACGCTGACTCGAAGGGCCCCGCAGGGAGGGGAACTTGAACTCTGCAAAAAGCTCTCTGCCGAAGCTTTATTTAAGACTACGCGGGGGATACTTAAATATTAAAGGATGAAAAAATAATGGCTGATGGTAGGCTGGGCAGCAAGGGCCATGGTACAAATGGTGGTACCGGCCGTCCTGTGGTCTGTCTGTGTGTCTCTTTGCCTCTAAACCCCTTCGGTGCTTCAGCTACCGGGGCTGTCACTTGCTGAGGCTGGTCACTGCTCTGTCCTCTGATTTGGGCTGGTCTAACCCACAGAGCCCCTTCCCATGGCTTTTGAGACAGCTCCGGGCTGGTGTCTCCAACAGCAGCATTGTGTTTGCTTGGCTGGACACCAGCATCTTGTCAATGCAGCCCAGGAGAAAGGACAAGGACTGAGCATCTGTAATTTTCTCTGTGCTGCTTCTGTTTATTTCTTTAATCCCTACTTCTTGACCGTAGAAGTCCTTGTGCTGACACGATATTATTTATTTATAAAATACGTACAGGAAAGTGCTCGGGTACCAGTCCCACCCTCCAAGGTTGGCCGTGCGTGTCCAGCTGGCAGGAGCCAAGGTGAAAGATGGTTTCTCTGTCTTGGAGTCGGGAGGAGGAGGAGGAGGAGAAAGAAAAGGGCTGAGAAAGATAGAGACTTCAAAGTATGTGAGCAAATATTTACAGGTTCCAAGACAAAAAAAATATATCTACAGGGTTGTCTTGGGTATACAGGGAGTCGGGCTTGAAGCGGAGGCTGCTCACAGCTCCATTTGTTATATTGATTGATGAAGACTACGGGTATTGATTTCCATCGGCTGTGCCAGCAGCGGGGTGCGCGGCTCCGGTGAGCCCCAGGCTCGGGCACTGCCAAGGGGCAGTCGGGACCACTCCAGTCGTGGGTTTATGCTTCTGGGGCTTTTGCAACGGTGCTTTGTTGATGTACTTAGTTTTTGCAAACGAGGCCTGAATACTTCTGCGACACTCCCTTGAGCGCCAGGGAAAGGGGATGCTAGCGGGGAGAGTGTTTCAGGGCGGCAGGGAGGAAAAATATCGCAGTTTGGGGTTTCCCACTGGCTGCTGCTGTTTTAACACGATGTGAACAAAGCAGGGGGTTTTGCTGGTGCTCAGGGAAGGTAGGGACAGTCCCCAAAAGCTGACTAGCTCCTGGGAGCTGGGGAAGGGCGCTGGGCTCCCCTGCAAGGGGTTGTGTCAGTGTGGCAGAGCTCAGTGTGCCGAGCTTGCACCAGTGGGTGCAGGGGTGTCCCAGCGAGCGTGCCTGGGGCTGGGGGCCTGCCCGAGGCAGGGAAGGTACTGCAGTATGTGCACAGGTCACTTTTCATGCCAGGGAGGGTGTTGGTGCACAAGGGAGTGACATGAAATGAGACTGTGGGTGTCTGGCTCGGTCCCTGAGCTCAGCGGGTCACCCCAGTTCAAACTGTCCGTGGTCTATGCAGGTGATACTTGACTGGAGGAGATGGAGGAGACCTCAGTCTTTCCCTGGGCTGTGGTGGAAGAGACGTCTTCATCCCCAAAGGGGTTCTTGCCGCAGCAGATTGTGGTGATCATGCAATGATGGAACTGAAGAGGGGAGAGAAATGGAGAATGATGGTATCAAGGGCCAGCAGGGACGTGCTGTGGGACCAAGAGCCCCCGGCAGCCCCTGAGCTTGCTGCTCCCCCCAGGCTGATTCAACCACTTCTGGGAAAGAGCAAGGTGCCTGCAGTAATCCCAGACATGCTGGAAAGCCAAGAGCAGAGGCTCACCCTGCATGAGATGGGGCATCTCACCTGTTTGTTCATGAAGACATAGATGATGGGATTGTAGAGGGAGGAGCTCTTGGAGAAGAAGGCAGGCACTGCCGTGAGCGTGGCGGTGAAGTCCGCTCCCTTGTTGGTGAAGATCCAGAACGCCACCACAGCATAGGGTGTCCAGGACAGCATAAACCCCAGCACCATGAGGATCACCATCCTTGTCACCTCCTTCTCGGCCTTCTGGGTTGTGGCTGATTCCTGCTGCTGGGCAGCTGCCTGCAGGCAGAGGGGGTGGTGAGGGGCACTGCGCAGCTTTCTGCCCCAGGACCACCTCCTCCTGCCCGAGCTGCCCACCCTGTCTCCATTAGCCTCCCAATGTTACCTCTCGGACTTTGCAAATGAGGCGCCCATAGGAGAAGAGAATGATCATGATTGGGATGATGAAGTGGATGATGAACATGTAGAGGATGTAGGACTCGTTGTGGTAGTCAGCGTTGTGGGTGTAGTAGTCAGGGCCGCAGGAACACTGCATCCCCTCTGGTATGTATCTGCTGGTGAGAAAGGTGAGGATCTTTGCCAGGATCCCCCCTGGGGACGAGAGGGGATCAATTTAGGGACCAAATTCCCCAAGGACGGGCAGTGCTTGAGGAGAGACATGTGTTTTGGGTGAGCTTCTCTGCGCCCTGTGCACCTCGTCTCACTGGCTCTGCAGCGTGCGGCACCTTCGGGGCCAGCACGAGCCCCGCCGATGGTTGTGCTGGGGCATATGGCATTGGTTTGTTGTCACACTTGCTCTTTCTCACAGGGCATGGGCTGTTTATTTCCTTCCTACGTGGCTGAGCACTCACCTGCCGGGAGCTACCTGCTCTCCCTCTGCAGATCAAAGGATGCTGAGTGGGGATGAGACCCACCAGCTTGGTGGGTCCAAGCTCCTGTGGGCTTTGTCCATGATGCTGCACAGGGTGGAGGGATGCACAGCCTGTGGCTGGAGGGGCCCTGGCTCAAAGGGGTGCAGCTCAGGTCTACTTGGGAGCCAGGGACCAGCTGCCTGGGCAGGGATCCCAGTTCAAGCCTGGAGAGGGACCATGTCTCTGTGCCTCATCGCAGATGGATGGTGAAGGGACTTTGTTGCCCCAAAGCCACCTCCTGCACATGCCCAAAGGGCTGGTAGGGGCTTGTGATGACCCCATAGAGCAGCTCTGCAGCGGGGTGTCAAGAAGGGTTGGAGCTGTAGCATTAGAGAAATCGCCTCAGCTCCTCCCTTATTCTCTGGGGGGCCTTTGGCTGCTGCATCAGCTGCCAGCCAGGGATGCAGGTACATGCAAGAGCCAGACATGGGCTTTGCCTGCCCAGAGAACCCACTCACTGGAGCCAGCGAGCAGCCTGCGGTGTGAGCAGCCAGCACTGCCTCTGTTTTTGGTGGGGGCTGAAATGTGCTGGGGAGTGGGACAGATGGGCTTGTGGGGAGAGGGGCAGGGGTGCTGGGAAAGGTGCTGCCACCCCAGCAGCACATCAGCAAGCCCAGGTTTGCACCCCCAAGTAGCCTTGACTGCTGGCCTGGTTGTCTGAATGCTCTTTGTGGTCTGCAGAGAGAAATAGGCTCTTCACAGCACGGGGGAGGCAAGCTGTGCCTATCAAAGCCGCTTTCTCTGCAGAGCATAAAGGGAACACGAAGGACTATTGCAGCTGGAGATGCTGAGCCTGTGTCTGCCTTTGGTTAGGGGACGCCAAGCCATCGTGAGACTGAGGTCCCATTTCTGTTCTGACTCGCCTCATTGCCTCGCTTGCCTGGAGCCCAGGGAGTTTCACATCTGAGCCACGAGTGCATCCCCCGTCCCACTAGTGTGCTTACCGAGCAGCTGGGGCTGCTGCTGAGCATCCTGCACCTCACCTGGACCAGCTGAAGAGGGGTGGAGCGGCACAGGAAAGGGCCATTATCCAGGTAAAAGCGATGCCCACCAAGGCGTGGGTTGTGGAGAAGCGGAAGTTTTCCATGGCTTTGCAGATGACGACGTAGCGCTCTATGGCCAAGACAACCAGGGACCAGAGGGCGACTTGGCCTGCGGGAGGGAGAGAAAGAGACTGTATGGTGGTGGTAAGAGCTCCTCTGGGCTTGATCTTCCCTTCGTGGTCTCGTGGTTGCAGTGAAGAGCAGAGGGAGCTGAGGAGTTGGGGATCAGCAAGGGATAACCAGCATCCTACTCAACAATTGAGGATCTCCCAGCCATAACGTGCACAAGGTCTGGGAGCCAAGGGAGCGTCTGTGCCGCAGCGGGGTGCTGGCAATGGAGGAGGGGATCACGATGGGTGTTTTTTTTAATAATTTAAAAATCAGGGGAGTGAATTCCACCTGGGCGTGAGGAAGCACAATTTCCGGCAAAGATGCCAGATGCATCCAAACCTGTTGATGCCTGTAAATGTGTATTTCATGAGCCTTCCGCCAGCGCTGGATCAGGGGGAGGCTGTGTGGGTGGGCATGCGTGCACATGTATTTATAAGGGATAATTAAACTTCAGGGGATTGGGAGCGTTTAGTCGGTGCTGTAAGCCTGCTAATGCCCCCAGCTGTGATAATCTGCTGATAACTACACCCTGTGCTGGGATTCGCTGGAGACCTGCTGCTCGCACAGCGACTGCCTCCCATCAAACTTTCTTCCCTGTGAACAGGAGCCTCCTTGTACGTTACTGGATACAAACACTGGAAGGGCAGGTAATGCTGCCTGAAAGCCCACAGGCTCACTTGATCAGAAATGGTGCAGACCCATATGATCTTCTGACCCCAGGACCAAGCCCTTCCTCAATCCTTGTCTTAGATCAGGACATTTTGCTTTGTTTTGGCTGGCAGAATATCCTTTTTTTTTTTTTTTTTTTTTTTTTTTTTTTTTCCTCCAGATCAGCATCATGGCAGGAAATTGCCCCATTTAGGGAAAAAAAAAAAAAAAAAAAGTGAAGTCCTCACAGTGGTTATGGATCTCTGCAGCAAGGATTAGCGGTTGTCAGATCCATCACGAGGTGTTGTGTGGGCCCGGCTGGCTGCGTGGGCACAGGGTGCAAAATGAATTTTCCCTGTTTTGCACGGGGGCTTTCTGCAGGGCGAAGCGTTAGCGGCTCTCCTGTCCCTGAGAAGTGAAATAAGGAAGCTCCCAAGGGCACCCAGATCGGGTGCAACTGGGACAAGAGCTGAGCAATCGCTGCAGAGCCTGGGCCTGCTTTCCCTGGCTTCGTGCTACTCTGAATCCTCCTTCCCCTCCACGCTGCTGCTCTTCTCTTCTGGCTAAAAGCTGCCACATCTTCCTTTAGCCCCTAGATAAGCTGTGACCCCTCTCCTTGTCTTGAACTCCTCCTCTCCATGTCCATGCCCCTCCTGTGAGGTCACTCTCCCAGGGGATGTCTCTTCCCACCCCCAACCCTTCCAAATGCTTCACCTTTTCCCAAGAAAATGCTTTTGGCGAAGATGCTTGACCTCGATTCGAGGACATGATGTGGTCATGCCCAGCGGGTCTCTGCTAGCCATGCTGCTTTGGTGTGACACCCCCTGAATGCATTCTGGGCAGCATGGCCAGATCACCCCAGGCATGACCCTGCAAACAAGGATCCCTTCCTGGGCTTCATTTCCTTGCTGCTGCCCTGCTCGTTGTGAGATGGGCATGTCTTGGCATCAAGATCAAACTTGCATAAATCTCTCTCTTTATCCCTGTCTTGAAGCCGCAGGGAAGCAGCGCCTTGCGTGGCAAGCGCTGCCCCACGCAACGAGCTGCAACGCCACAGCGGCCTGTGAGACGGCTTTCTGCACAGGAGGGACACTGCAGGCATCCCGACAGCATGATGAAGGGGTGGGATTGGGCTCCTAAAGCCCCGAAGAAGAAAGATCACCCACTGCCAAGCCTGCCCCTTAGACCCAAGCTTCGACCCCACAGCCCTTACCTCCCAGCGTGGCGAAGAAGCCCTCCACAGCACAGCCAACGGGGCCGAAGACGAAGCAGCCATTCCAGGCAGCGTAGAAGGTGACCGTGAAGCCAAAACAGGCCATGAAGAGGTCAGCCACTGCCAAGTTGACCAAGATGTAGTTGAGTGGCTGTCGGAGCTTCTTGTGTTTGAAGGTGACCAGGAGGGTGAGGAGGTTGATGGGCAAACCAGTAGAGATGAGGAAGAAGAGGTAGCAACACACAGTGCGGTATTTCCAGGGCTCAGCTAGGTAGTACTGGGGGTACTCGAAGGGGCTTCGCACCACCCCTGTCTTGTTGGACATAGGCACGTAAAAATTGATACCTTCCATCCCGTTCATCCTGCCGATGTTCGAGCAGCTCCTCTGAATTTGTAGCTAACTTTTGCTTCAACCTCAATTAAAAAAAAAAAACCAAACAAAAAAAACCCCAAACCAAAACAGGAAGCCCCCACCCCTCCAATGTGGAAAAATACCCAACTAAAGGATTTTTCCCCCTCACAATTAAAAAAAAAAAAAAATTAAGAACAGCGGTAAATCCTGAGGGGATGGGTAGCGGTGCCCTGCCCCTGCTCCGCCTTGAGGGCTGGCAGTGCCCGTGTGCAGGGGAGGTTTTATACCCTCTGGCCTCCTCGAGGGAGCGCGGGGGGGGCTGGATTAGGGGCTCGGCTAACTTTGTATGACAAGGGCAACAGGATTGAGAGGGGCTGATGGTTTAAGCACCCTCTAAGCAGCCAGTTGGCCCCAAAACCTGCATTAAAGCGTATTAATTGCCATTAAGTGTTTAATATTGTTTAAGGAATTGGGAGAAGGAAGGGATGGGGAAGAGGGACAAAGGTAGGAGGAGCGGTGGTGAGTTGGGGAGTGACTGCTTTGGGCAACTGATGGGGAAATGGGCCTGTGCTCAGGTCTGTGGTGGGTCACAGCCTTTGGGGTGTCCCTGGGTGGCTGAAGGACTCCATGGGAATGTTTGGGGACTGAGGACCACCCAGCTCTGCCACACTGACCTTGGGGAGGGCACTGGGGGAAGACTGGACCGAGCTCTGCAGGTCTGAGGCGCGGGCTTGGCTCTGGCTGTTTGGGTGCCTGGTTCAGTGTGGGTGCTGCCTGATATGGGTACGTGTCTCCATCACAGAGCAAACCTGGGCTCTGCTGACATGGCCAAGGATCACCTCTGCATGGAGCAGGAGGGAAAGCCGCTTCCCATCCCACGGGCTGCAATCTCGGTAAACCCAGAATTTTGGGGGTAGGTCCTTCTGCTGTATTACACCCTGAACCGTGCACCCTGGTTGTACTAGAGTGCAAAGGACTGAATTTCCTCCTCTGCTTTGCCTCCTCCCTGGGCTAAAGGATATATTTTATTCAGTTGACCCTCCAGGGATCTCTGGCAGGACAGGAGGGAGCACACCATGGGGCAGGGATGGATGGGGCATGGCCAGCCCCGGGGGTCCCTGTCTCCCAGGGAGCTGCTGGTGAGTGTTTCCTGCCCGAGCCTCCGCCCCATCCCAGCAAGTGGGACACTGATCTGGGTGGCAGCTTTGCAAGAATTGGCTAGGTTTAGGGAGGGCCCTTAGCCACAGCTCTGAAACCAGCCTGAAAAAGTGCCACTACTTGCTGGAGAAGCAACACCTGAGTGCCCCTGGGGAGGGAAGGTAAAGCCTCAGCAATGCTGATGTCCCGAATTCCCTTCAGAGATAGTGCCGAGAAACCAGCACCAGCCTGTAGCCACACTGGGAGAGCAAGTAGGATGGAAAGAAGCTTCTCCCAGTCTCTTGGCACTCAGTGCGGCGTGTGGGATCCCCATCCCAGCACACACAAGACTGTGAAACCCTTCTCAGCAGGGTCGATGCCAGCTTGGAGCACCAATGCTCAATCCCATCCAAGTTCTTTCCCCATTTCTTCCTTGTGGGTGCTCCTTCTCCAGGAGACCTGCGTAAGACGCCTTAGGGAAGCTCTTCCATGAATCTCTGACATCTGGTGACGTTAACGGCCCTGATCTGTTAATGCGGTAAGCTGTTAGCCGCCTCCTCACCGCTGCCCTCTGCCAAGGAAAGGTGGACGGAAAACGTCGATGCTGTCTTGCTGGATGAATGAGGTCTTCTGCGAGACTGGAGTGTCTCAGAGCCAGAGGACAGGAGCGGACAGCTAAGGGGTGTTGGTGGGATGAATGATGCTCTAATCGCTGACCCGCTGATCTGTCTGCAGAGATCCAAGAGGAACAGAACAAGGATGTGATGAGAGTAAGTGGGTCACATCAGCTCCAGGTGCCCTGGGACAAGGAGTCCCTGTGGGATATCTGTGCCTCTCGGAAGTACCTCGCTGCATGTCTTCTGAAACCACCAGTCATGAATTTCCCAGTCTAAGTCTTCCTTGAGGGGAAGAGTTTCTTGTGGAGAAGTCCCATGGCCTTACTTCTCATAAAGCTTTCCCTGGAGGTATTATGTGCCTCTCCTGGCCTTAGTGAGGCTTCTGGACATGTAAAAGTTGTGCACGTTTTTGCAAAATTATTTGACTATCAAAGGGAGAACTCAGAAATCCGGATACACATAAACAGATGTGCATCTTGATAAGAGTGTGTTCCTCCCGACTCTTTACATCTGAAGACCACTATGATGGTCCACCTTCAAAAGCCCTGGACCTTGCTGTGAGTGCCAGCAGCATCTGAAAGCTCTGGTGCTTCTCCAAGTACACAAATTCAGGGTTTTGTATATAAACATGGTTATCTCATGGGAACATTAATTTTCATCCCCCAGACAATAATTTTCACCTCCCATCTCTGTGAGACTTTCTGCCACACCTTTGTGGTGCCCCGCCTTCCAAAGAGTAAAGAGTTGTAGAAATGAAGCACAGCTATGGGGAGAAGAGCTGAAATGACAGTCTGCCTTTGGGGGAAAGGATCAGCAGTATTTTTGCACAGAGACTTTTCCTTGATTGGTGGACCCTCTCCACTCACTAAGGTGTGGAGCAGATTTGGCTTCGTGCATGGTACCCAGAAACCTTTCATACAGAGGACTGATGACAACCAGACCAAGAGAACTTCCTCCACACCCTCAACTAGATCTGGACCAGGACCCTTCCCCTTTTTGAGAGCTGAGTATGGAGCAGGTAAGCCTGAATCGCCTCTGTCATGCGGACAAGGGGCTGTCCCTTCCCAGCTGTCCTCAGGACTCAGCTTTCTTCCCCTTCGAGCTGAGGCTTGATATCCCACGGCTGGTGGATTTAGAGCTCTCACGGGTCAGTGACAGCTGGAGCAGTGCTGAAGGCCTTGCATAAACAGTGTAGGAAAATGACACCGGAGGGGATAGCTGGTCCCTCCAGGACGTGTCCTGAATGCAACCTCAGTTCCCTCTGCGTCTCTGTCACAGAAATGGAAAGTGATGCCTTTAATTTGGTGTCTCTTAGCAGGGGGACTTTATGGGCTGTCTCCCAGAGAGCTCTCAATTGTTTTCTATGCTGACTCTATGACAAAGGCAGCAATAGCAAAATTCAGGCCCTGTTTAACTGGAGAGGTTTGCTTTCTTTGTGTTTGTCCTTAAGAAGAGGAAAGGTTTCCTTCCCTCTTGCAGGTTTTTTTCTGCTTTGGTAAGCTCTTTGAGATGAGATTGTCTCTTATTCATTGTTTGTCAGCACAATGCGTGACGGAGCCCTGAGCTGCTTTGGGCTTTCATGTCCTGTGTAAAGCAAGAAATGATAATTATAATCAAATAACTAACTTGCACTGAGCTGATACGGTTGGTTCACTGGGCTCGAGCGACAGGCAGAGCAAACCATGCGGATGTGCCAGGGGAGGTGGATTTCCCGGAGCGGTGGCAGCTGAGAGCCCTTTGCAGTGCCTCTCCCCATCCTGTGCGAGGCTTTTCGTTGCTGCTTGGGCAGAGGCATGGGAGCAACTTGCCCAAGGGCACACAGGGAACGACTTGCAGATCAAGATGTAGAGAAATGCAAAAGCAAAAGAAATCAGTCATGAAGCAAACATCTGTGCTTAGATTCTGGTGGTGGACTAATGCACAGGGTCTTAAACCTTGGCCGTGAGCACCACCACTGAATGCAAAATTCACGTTGCTTTTGTGATTTTTTTGGCTGGTTTTGTAATGTGCTGCTCTGAATCTCTCTTCTGGAGGGGCTCATTCCTTCCTAGTGGGATGGAGAAGAGGAAGGAAGGTGAAAATATTGTGGTGTGCTCTGGTACCCCCGGCTGCCCTGGGAAGACCTTGTTTCCCCATATCAGATAGCAGCCATGCATGGCCGCTGCACTGAGCTGCTTATGTGGGGCTTGTGAGCTTCCTCGCCAGGAAAGGGGTTAAAGAAAGACAAAGCTGGAGTGTTATAAAGACCATATGGAGGGGAAGAAAACCCTTTATCCTGTAATTGGATTCATTCCCTGGTGGAGGTGAGACTGAGTGGAGCTGACAGGTCGTGATGGGCGAGGTGCTGCCAGCCGCCCCGTCCAAGGCAGGATGTGTGTGCACAAACTTGTAGATCAATCCATTAGAGTGGATCAAATAGATTTAAATGTGTGGCAGGGAGGAGGAGGACACAGATGTATTTACAATTTGGTTCGGTGGGCCGTTCCTCCCCCAGCAGGGATTAACCCAGCCGTGGCTGGTGGCTCTGAGGTGGCAGCCGAGCCCTCTGCCAGCAGCCGCAATGCTGGGGCCGGCTGCCTCCTGCTCCTCTGGGTTTGCCTCCATCCAGGACAAGGACCTGGAGGTGCAGAGGGAGGTTCTTTATACCATGCCCTTGCTTTTGTCCCCCCAAAATAAGAGCGCACAGAAGCCTGACTCCTGCCTTGCTTGCAGCCCCCAAAGGGCTGCACCCACAGAGTTTGGGCAGGAGGAACCCCAGCTCCTGTTTTCTGTGCAGGTTCCCCCCCCAACTCCTTCTCCAGGCTCTCCCCACCAGCACAGCCTCACAGGGGGTGGATACACCAGAGCCAGGAGGCAGCTGGGAAGTGGGGAGAGCTTCACCACTGCCAACCTCATCTCATCTGCATGGTTTTTGCAAGCAAGCAGGCCCCTGTCACCTCCCAGGCTTTTCCTCCTGCTGCCGATCCAGGTAACATCTCCACAAGCACCGTAGGATTTCCTTGGAGAGATAGAAAGTCTTTGGGACCCGCCGTTTTCTTGCCAAGGAGCTGAGCAATGCTGGCTCAGCTGTGAACCCGCACCACTCCGTGTGGTGCTGTCAACACTTTTAACTAAGTGATAAACCGGGGCTGTAGCAGAGTAGGCAGGTTTGCAAGACAGTCTCACCGGCCACGCAGCACCACGGGATGAGCAGCCAGCCCGGCCCAGCAAATCCAAGCAGCACAAGCACATTTCTCTGTGTTAGCAGCTGTGCAAGGGAGCAACGAGGGTGTTGGACGATGCAAGGGAGATGCTGTCAGTTCCTGTGAGATCTTCCTGTCTTGCAAACTGCAGTCAATCCCTTGCTGGATTTTGTTTGGGTTTATTTGAGCCAGGTAGGTGTTAGGCGGGAGTTAACAGAGAGAGCTGGGAGGCAGGGATCTATGTCCAGCTCCTCTCCAAGCTCTGTTTTGCCCAACTAGTGGCAGGTACTTAAGTGTAAAAGTCAGAGA